TGAATGACAATACAGATACAACATATGGAAATCTCTGGGACACGATGAAAGCAGTTCTAAAAGAAAAGTTCATTGCATGGAGTTCATTCCTTTTTTTATTTTTATTTATTTATTTTTATTAGTTGTTCAAAACATTACAAAGCTCTTGACATACCATATTTCATACATTTGAAGAAAAAGTCAATGAATAAATGACTTAATATTACATCTCAAAGCCCTAAGAAAAAAAGAACAAATCAACACCAAAAGCAGCAAAAGACAGGAAATAATTAAAATCAGAGTTGAAATCAATGAAATTGAAACAAAAGAAACGACTGAAAAAATTGACAGAACAAAAAGTTGGTTCTTCGAAAAAATAAATAAAATTGATAGACCTTCAGCCATGCTAACAAAGAGAAGGAGAAAACTAAATCACTAACACACGTGATGAGAAAGAAAATATCACAACAGACAATACAGAAATACAGAAGATAATTAGAAATTATTTTGAAAACTTGTACTCCAATAAAATAGAAAATATCGAAGGCATCTACAAATTTCTAGAGTCATATAATTTGCACAAATTGAATCAGGATAATCAATTTCAAGTGACAAAACAGCAGATGCCATCAAAAGTCTAAAAAAACAAGAAAAACCCAGGGCTGGATGGATACACAGCTGAGTTCTACAAGATCTTTAAAGAAGAACTAATACCAATACTCTTCAATTTATTTCAGGAAATAGAAAAAGAGAGAGCACTTCCAAACTCATTCTATGAGGCAAATATCACCCTGATTCCAAAACCAGGCAAAGACACATCAAAGAAAGAAAACTTCAGATCAATATCTCTAATGAACATAGATGTAAAAATTCTCAATAAAATTCTGGCAAATCGAATATAAAAACATATCAAAAAGATCTTGCACCACAATCAAGTGAGATTCATCCCAGGGATGCAAGGTTGGTTCAACATACGGAAATCAATAAATGTAATTCATCACATCAATAGACTTAAAGAAAAGAATTATATGATCATCTCAATAGATGCAGAAAAAGCATTTGATGAAATACAGTACCCCTTTATGTTCAAAACACTAGAAAAATTAGGGATAACAGGAACATATCTCAACATCATCAAGGCTATCTTTGCTAAACCCCAGGCCAATATCATTCGAAATGGAGAAAAATTGAAGGCATTCCCTCTAAAAACTGGAACAACACAGGGATGCCCTCTTTCACCACTTCTATTTAACATAGTTCTTGAAACACTGGCCAGAGCAATTAGGTGAACGAAATTAAAGAAATAACACATAGGAAAAGTACTCAAATTGGCACTATTTGCTGATGATATGATTCTATAACTAGAAGACCCTAAAAGTTCCACCAGAAAACTTCTAGAACTAGTAAATGAATTCAGCAAAGTAGCAGGATATAAAATCAACACCCATAAATCAAAGGCATTTCTGTATATCAGTAATAAATCCTCAGAAATGGAAATGTAGAAAACTACCCAATTTACAATAGCCTCAAAAAGAATAAAATACTTGGCAATCAACTTAATGAAAGAGATGAAAGATCTATACAATGAAAACTATAGAACCCTAAAGAAAGAAGTCAAAGAAGACCTTAGAAGATGGAAAGATCTATCTTGCTCTTGGGCAGGCAAAATTAATATTATCAAAATGACCATACTTCAAAAAGCAATATACAGATTTAATGCAATTCCAATCGAAATCCCAATGACATTCCTCATAGAAATAGAAAAAGCAATCATGAAATTCATCTGGAAAAATAAGAGACCCAGAATAGCTAAAGCAATCCTTAGCAAGAAGAGTGAAGCAGGTGGCATCACCATACCAGACCTTAAACTATACTACAGAGCAATAGTAACAAAAACAACATGGTAACGGCACCAAAACAGACTGGTAGACCAATGGTACAGAACACAGAGACTAACCCACAAAAGTACAATTACCTTATATTAGACAAAGTTGCCAAAAATATGCACTGGAGAAAAGGTAGCCTCTTCAACAAATGGTGCTGGAAAAACTGGAAATCCATATGCAACAAAATGAAATTAAACCCCTATCTCTTACCATGCATGAAACTCAACTCAAAATGGATCAAGGACTTAGGGATAAAACCAGAGACCCTGTGTCTAAAAGAAGAAAAAGTAGGCCCTAATCTCCATCATGTGAGATTAGGTCCCAACTTCTTTAATAAGACTCCTGTGGCACAAGAATTAAAATCTAGAATCAATAAATGGGGTGGACTCAAACTAAAAAGTTTCTTCTCAGCAAAAGAAACAATCTGTGAGGTGAATAGAGAGCCTACATCTTGGTAGCAAATCTTTACCCTTCACACATCAGATAGAGCACTAATTTCTAGGGTATATAAAGAACTCAAAAAGCTAACTACCAAAAAAAACAAATAACCCAATCAATAAATGGGCCAAGGACCTGAAGAGACACTTCCTCAGAAGATGATATACAATCAACCAACAAATATATGAAAAAAATGTTCATCATCACTAGCAATTAGAGAAATGCAAGTCAAAACCACTCTAAGATTTCATCTCACTCCAGTCAGAATGGTAGCTTTTATGAAAACAAACACCAATAAGTGTTGGCTAGGATGTGGGGAAAAAGGTACACTCATACACTGCTGGTGGGACTGCAAATTGGTGCAGCCAATTTGGAAAGCAGTACAGAGATTTCTTGGAAAATTAAGAATGGAACCACCATTTGACCCAGCTATCCCTCTCCTCAGTCTGTACCAAAGAACTTAAAAACAGCATACTACAGGGACACAGCCACATCAATGTTTATAGCAGCATAATTCACAATAGCTAAACTATGGAACAAACCTAGATGCCCTTCAATAGATTAATGGATAAAAAAATGTGGCATATATATATGATAGAATATTACTCAGCAATAAAAGAATAAAATCATGGCATTTGCAGGTAAATGGTTGAGGTTAAAGAAGATAAAGCTAAGTGAAGTTAGCCAATCTCCAAAAGCAAAAGCCGAATGTTTTCTTTGCTATAAGGAGGTTGATTCATAGTGGGATAGGGAGAGGGAGCATGGGAGGAACGGACGAACTCTAGATAGGGCAGAGGGGTTGGAGGGGAAGAGAAGGTGTATGGGGGTTATAAATGATAGTGGAATGTGATGATCATTATTATCAAAAGTACAAGTATAGGGCTGGGACTATGGCTCAGTGGTAGCGCATTTGCCTTGTATGTGTGAGGCACTGGGTTCGATTCTCAGCACCACGTATAAATAAATAAAATAAAGATCTATCAACAACTAAGGGAAAAATAAAAATTAAAAAAAAAAATTTTTTTAAAGTACATGTATAAAGACACGAATTGGTGTGAATACACTTTGTATACAACCAGAAATATGAAAAATTGTGCTCTATATGTGTAATAAGAATTGTAATGCATTCCACTGTCATACATAATTAAAAAAATAAATAAAATAAGTCATATTATAAAAAAAAGTTTCTTTAAAGAGAAAAGAACATAAATATAAAAACTTTTGAAAAGATACATGATGTCTTTAAAATTCAGAATCTTTGTTCATTGAAAGATACCATTACCAGGGATGGGTTTGTAGCTCAGTGGTAGAGTGGTTGCTTGGCAGGTATGAGGCACTGGGTTCGATCCTCAGCACCAATAAAAATAAATAAGTAAAATAAAAGTCTATAGACAACTGAAAAAAATTTTTTTTCAAAAAAAAGAAAGATACCATTACTAAAGTGAAAAGATAAGTCATAGAGTAGAATAAGATATCTACAATATATACAATTAGCAACAGACTAATACAACTAATATAGAAAGAACTCTTACAAATGAATTTAAAAAAAGATTTAAGAAAATGAGAAGAATTAATTATAATAGTGGATGCCCAAATGGCCAGCAAGCATATAAAATATGGGGAGGTTTGAATATCACTACTCATCACAAAAATGCAAATAAAGGCTACTTTCAAATAGTACTACACATCCATCAGGTGAACTAACACAAAATATGAAACGTTGGTGAAAATGTGGAGCAACTAGAATTCTTACACTGCTAGTGGTAGTACAAATGGACACAATTGTCTTAAAAACCTGTTTAGTAATGTCTATCCTCATTGCCAGGAATTGCAGGGTCAGGTATAATACCAGAATAATTAATTTTTTTTGCATGTTTATGCAAAAATATGGACAAGACTGTTCAAAGAACTAAGCAATTCTTCCTTCACAGTAGAATGGACAAAATAAAGTAGGGTATATTAATATGAGAATAAAAATAAACCTCTCATAAAAGTATCTCACAGACATACTTTTGAGTGAAAGCCAGATCTTGAAAAAAAAAAAATGTTCTTATTATGTAATTCCATTTATATGAGGTTCAAACTGACACAACTAATTTTTATTGATATAAGTCAACATAGTCATTATCTCTGCAAGGAGGGGACAAGGAAGATGCCTCTGGGGTCCTGGCAGTATTCTACATGTTGATCTGAGGGGTGGCTACATTGACATATTAATTACAAAAACTCATTGATCTGTCCATTAAGATTTGTACACTTTATATGCTATACTACAGCACAAAGATCTTATAAAGACAATTTACCTTGGACTTAAAAATATGAACCAAGGCTATAATCCAATCCCAGATTTCTATCAGTTTTTGCCAATTTTAACTAATGTATTACTGTTTCAACAAGACAACTGTTGAAGTAAATATATAATCACTACTCTGAGGATTACATAAGCAAAACATGTATGGATGAGAATAAGCCACATAGGAGAATAATTTTCCAAATTCTAAACAATGATATTCAAAAGTACTGAAGCTTTTAGAATACAGTACAGACTAGAAGACCAATATTGCTTATTCACATAAACTCCAATATAATGAGTAGACATCTTAATGAGGAAAATGATTTAACCAAGAACAAATATGGGCATATTTTACTCCTGAATAACCTCACCAAAGTATATATGAAGTACCCATTAAGTCTTACCTGAATGTGTCCGAAAATGCATTTCCAGACTTGATTTTCCTTTAAAAATTTTCTTACAAACATCACATTGATGAAAGGTTGCTTTATATCTAAGAAAATAAAAATGTTTGCATTTTTCAATGTAATTTTTAATAATAATGAAAATAAGTTCCAATTTTATAACTGTACATATAATTATCATATGAATAAAGCATAGAACTCTACAGAAACATGGATACTTTTAGGTATGGAGCTTGTTGCTGGTTCTTATTCCTCCAGTTATATTAAAAAATCCATAAAAAGAAGCCTTCAGATTCTCAACTATTTTAAATCACTTTTTTTTTGTATTTTTTTTTTAAATTTTTTATTGTTGGTTGTTCAAAACATTACAAATTTCTTGACATATCATATTCCACACTTTGATTCAAGTGGGTTATGAACTCCCACCTTCCCCCCATACACAGATTGCAGAATCACATCAGTTACACATCCATTGATTTACATATTGCCATACTAGTGTCTGTTGTGCTCCGCTGCCTTTCCCATCCTCCACCCTCCCCCCTCCCCACCTCTCCCCTCCCCTCCCCTCCTCTCTCTCTACCCCCTCCACTGTATAACCCTGAGGGTCTCCTTCCATTTCCATGCAATTTCCCTTCTCTCTCCCTTTCCCTCCCACCTCTCATCCCTGTTAAATGTTAATCTTCTTCTCCTGCTCTTCGTCCCTACTCTGATCTTAGTTACTCTCCTTATATCAAAGACATTTGGCATTTGTTTTTTAGGGATTGGCTAGCTTCACTTAGCATAATCTGCTCTAATGCCATCCATTTCCCTGCAAATTCTATGATTTTGTCATTTTTTAATGCAGAGTAATACTCCATTGTGTATAAATGCCACATTTTTTTTATCCATTCGTCTATTGAAGGGCATCTAGGTTGGTTCCACAGTCTTGCTATTGTGAATTGTGTTGCTATGAACATCGATGTAGCAGTGTCCCTGTAGCATGCTCTTTTTAGGTCTTTAGGGAATAGACCAAGAAGGGGAATAGCTGGGTCAAATGGTGGCTCCATTCCCAGCTTTCCAAGAAATCTCCATACTGCTTTCCAAATTGGCTGCACCAATCTGCAGTCCCACCAGCAATGTACAAGTGTACCCTTTTCCCCACATCCTCCCCAGCACTTGTTGTTGTTTGACTTCATAATGGCTGCCAATCTTACTGGAGTGAGATGGTATCTTAGGGTGGTTTTGATTTGCATTTCTCTGACAGCTAGAGATGGTGAGCATTTTTTCATGTACTTGTTGATTGACTGTATGTCCTCCTCTGAGAAGTGTCTGTTCAGGTCCTTGGCCCATTTGTTGATTGGGTTGTTTGTTCTCTTATTGTCTAATTTTTTGAGTTCTTTGTATACTCTGGATATTAGGGCTCTATCTGAAGTGTGAGGAGTAAAGATTTGTTCCCAGGGTGTAGGCTCCCTATTTACCTCTCTTATTGTTTCTTTTGCTGAGAAAAAACTTTTTAGTTTGAGTAAGTCCCATTTGTTGATTCTAGTTATTAACTTTTGTGCTATGGGTGTCCTATTGAGGAATTTGGAGCCCGACCCCACCGAATGTAGATTGTAGCCAACTTTCAGAACCCTAAAGAGAGAAATAGAAGAAGATCTTAGAAGATGGAAAAATATACCCTGTTCATGGATAGGCAGAACTAACATCATCAAAATGGCGATATTACCAAAAGTTCTCTATAGGTTTAATGCAATGCCAATCAATATCCCAACGGCATTTCTTGTAGAAATAGAGAAAGCAATCATGAAATTCATATGGAAAAATAAAACACCCAGAATAGCAAAAACAATGCTAAGCAGGAAGTGTGAATCAGGCGGTATAGCGATACCAGACTTCAAACTATACTACAGAGCAATAGTAACAAAAACAGCATGGTACTGGTACCAAAACAGGCAGGTGGACCAATGGTACAGAATAGAGGACACAGAAACCAATCCACAAAACTACAACTATCTTATATTTGATAAAGGGGCTAAAAGCATGCAATGGAGGAAGGATAGCATCTTCAACAAATGGTGCTGGGAAAACTGGAAATCCATATGCAACAAAATGAAACTGAATCCCTTTCTCTTGCCATGCACAAAAGTGAATTCAAAATGGATCAAGGAGCTTGATATCAAATCAGAGACACGCCGTCTGATAGAAGAAAAAGTTGGCTACGATCTTTAAATCACTTTTTAATATCAGCTATTTAAATATACAAGAAAAAATTAATAGGACAAAAACAGATCAATAGTGGGCTAAAGGGAAGAGCAACTGAGTACAAAGAGTACAAATTCTGAGGTTATGGAAATAGTCTGTATTCTGATGGTAGTGATTATATGACTTACAGAACTATTCTCTAAAAAGAGAAAATTTTACTTTATGTAAATTAAAACATTAAAGAAACAAATACTGAGGCTGATTAGAAACTGCAGCAATCTCAAAATTCACATTCATCAAAAAGTTGACAATGCTCTCATCATTTCACTTTATAATAAATATTTGATATTTGCACTTATAAATCAAATAAATTTCAACGAATGAAATACTTGCCCCTCATTTTTATCATAGACATAAAACTATAAATTACCCAAAAGTTAACTTAGTGAGCAGCATACTGTAGTGCCTAAGAGTATTTTTGAGTTAAATAATCTCAAATGTAAAATTTAATTGTGAGGACTAAGATATTTGCAAAAGAGTATTATTTAAGTAAAAGTCTATGTCTACCACCTCTTACTCCTTCAATTCAGTGAAAATAAGTAGGAAAAAATATGCCTTGCTCAATTCTTTAAGATCTATAAAGAAGCTATGATAAACTAGAAAAAAAAAACAGCTGATTAACCTATCCCTAATTAAACAAAAAGCTCTAACTCTTCCTCAATCAAGACTCAGCCTATGTAGTAATTATGAAAAATTTTACTTTTTCACTCACTTTTGCCACACTTTCTCACCAAGGTGCACACTTTTGTAATGAACAGTGAGATGATCCCTACGACCAAAACATTTTCCACATTCTTCACACTGATGAGCCTTTTCACCTAAAAATAAAGTTCCAAATACTTTGATTATAGTATACATTTCAGTTTGTTTTTCCCCCCATAAATAAATGACCAAACAATAAGATCACATGCTAGGAAATAAACCAAGAAAGTAAAACCACCTATTATTCTGGGCTATTTCCTTTATATTCCTTTCTTAAACATCTTTCCTTAGGGAATCTATATTTAATTTCACGAATGTAAATCCTTTATCCACTTGGAAAAGAAATTAACAGCCTTCTGCTCTAGATTTCAAATCTTACCTTTCAATGTAAAAGAGCAAAATAAATGAAATTACTTTAAAACCCAGGATATTTTTTAGTTGTTTATATAGATATATATGTCTAGATGTGAAACACCTCAAATGAACATACATTACATTGAAAAGAGACTGTTTTACTATTTATAAAAAGGACCTGAACATTTCAGATCTTTGTACTTTGCTTTTGAAAGATTTTCATCTGTGGGATTTCTTACTTTTGCAATGAGCCAAAACGCAAATGTAATGAAAAATCCTAGGTGATTTCCTATTTTTACATTTAGCTACAAATACTTGGTCTTTAAAAATCACTATCTCAGCTGGGTGTGGTGGCGCACATCTGTAATCCAGTGGCTAGGGAGGCTGAGGCAGGAGGATCTTGAGTTCAAAGCCAGCCTTAGCAAAAGCGAGGCACTAAGCAACTCAGCAAGAACCTGTTTCTAAATAAAAATACAAAAAAGGGCTGGGGATGCAGCTCTGTGGTCAAGTGTCCTGGTTCAATCCCCAATAGTAAAAAAATAAAAAAAACCTAAAAATTACAAAAAATTGAAAATAACTGCAATCTGCCTCACTGATATGATTTAAGAAAATAACTATTATTTGTTGTATACTTTATATTTTAAATTATGCTTATTAGAATAATCACCTGTTCTACTGTGCTCTTAGAGATGGCTCTTTCCCATTATTGTGCTCACATAGTTGACTCTCTTAGAACTTCCTGAACATCAATCTAAGAGGAAAATATGAAAGAAATCCCCAGAATGTAAAAATTATAAATACAGTATAAAGATCTGAAATTGATCAAGATTATTAAAATACTCTTTTTCCAAAGATGCTTTCAAAATTTAGTATAACATAAACAATTACAATCATTTTCCTTTAAAACACCAAAATTTTGCTAACTATTTCTCAAATACAATCAAAGTGGGAAATATTATCACAGTTTCTTCCGTTAGGGATGTGACAATAGCAATAATTCCACATATCACCATGATATGCAAATTCAAATTTTTTGAGAATTTGTTTAAAATTAAATTTTAAACTATACTTTGTAGTCAACAAAGGGTGACCAAATATATGATTAAAATTTCAGGGAATGTCATAAAATTACTTCTCTTTTAGATGCTTCTTTCAGAAAATGTTGATGTTCTTTTTAGGTATTAAAAAATTCTGAAAATAGAAAAACAAAATACAGCCTACCTGAATGTATTTTTTTGTGCTTTGTAAGGTGGTCATGACGAATAAATGTTTTTCCACATTCATCACACTCATATCTTTTGTCATCATGATGTACTCGTAAGTGAAGCCTATAAAGAAAAAAAAGTGCAGACCACTGAAACTGATGACAAATACTTGAAAATGAATAAATAATGAAAAATGGGCTGTCTACCCAACCTCCTTCAGGTACTATTTGTCTTTTATCTGACTTTCAGAGCCTTTCTCAGTCTTCTGTTGATTGGCCCCAGGGTTCTATTCATCACTTCCAAAAAAGCATTTTAACATTTGCACATGCTTAAACCACTTTTGGATAATATTTCTTCCCAACCTGTTAGATCTTAAATCTATTTCATGAATCTACCAAATATCTGGGGTTGTTATCTGACTGGCCAAGTCTTAGAAACATCGAAAGGAGGAATATTACAGGAATAGAATCAGACAAATGGAATAACTGTACAAATGACTAAACACATGATAATAATAATAGCAAATAACACAGCAAATAACTGAAGATTAGTACTATTCCAGAAGACAAGTGATACCACTTATAAATTGATAGTTCAGAATTTATTGTATTATAAAAGAACTCAACATTATGAAAATTACACTTTACCACTCTTTGCACTAGTTGAGGAAAATGGAACTCCTTTTATAGTCATTCAAACACAGATTATAAAGGTTTCGATTATTAAAATTGATTTAACTTGAATTCTTCTATCCCTACAATCTATTATATATACAATGTGTGTCTATACACACACACACACACACACACACACACACTTATCTTTTGTCACATATACAGTATATACATATATCTCCTAGTAAAATGAAGAGCTTTCTCATTCAAGTTGCCAAAATAAGTGTTGATTCTACCATAACTAAAATCAGTAATCTAACTGGACTGCATCTAAAGGAAAAACAATCTATCTAAATTTAAGAGGAAAATAATAAATGAAAGTGTAAACACTAAAGCCTTACGACTAAAATTCTAGAAACCATTCATAAAATTAAAATGATACAAGCATTTCCAAAAAGCAGTTATATATCTAGAAAAACATTTTCATAAACTTCAAATGTGGTCAGAGATTCATTCATAAAATTGAGAATTCTAGAGTTTTAAACTTGCCATGTTTTTATACTAAAGATATTCTTGTATAATGAAGAATGAAGAAATAGAGATGGGAACGTAACTCAATGATTTAGCATTTGCCTAGCATGCTCAAAGGCCCTGGATTGGATCCTTAGTACTGCAAGCAAAAACAAAAAAACAAACAAACAACACCAAATTTGAAACAAAAAGGTTCCAAATAAATTCTCATTCAAGGAAAAATAGATAAATATTAGAATAATAACTTAGTAAAACCTTTAGTAAATTTGGCAATGAGGAAACATTTAATAATATTCTTTATGAATCCTTTAAAATGCAAATAAATATTAAAAACTGTAGAGAACAGAAAGCTTTTTGTACAACTTTATATATCATGTTTAGAAATATTCAACAAAAAACATTATAAGAAATAAATAAAATGGAGATGTAATTGTATCTTACCTCACATAGGGAAAAATAGCTTTATTTACCTGTATGAGCTTCCATGTCGAAAACTTTGTCCACAAATACTACAAAGATGAGGCTTTTCTCCACTATGGATTCTCAAATGTTCTTTCAAAGTAGTTCTGTGTTAAAAATACATAAATTTAAAGTTTTATTATATACCCATGTATATACTACAAATTTCCAGAAAGATTAATAGAATGGTATACAAAGCTAGAGATACAATAGCAATTCTTTTTCCTACAATATTTTTACTCTCAGCAGTACACAAATATGCTTATCATGTCTTTCTCATTAAAAATAAATTAAAAACACTGATTGTGGCATTCTTTGTTATTGGTTGCTTACAGATTTAACTGTACAACTTAAGCACACTTTGAAGAAGTGTAAGTAAAAAATGCTCAATTATCACTACTGAATTGGGTAAAACGTATGTGGATTTTAGTACAGAAGGTTGAAAATATTTAAGGAATTCAGTTTATCAGTTTTTCCTTCCAAATGTGTGCTCATTACTTGTTAGATGTTTTAAGGCAAAGAAAACAATACAGGTGTTACTGAGTTTCAGGTGGTGATGTATAAAAGGAATCTATATAAAGGATATAATTTTTGCTCTTCCTAAGTCTTCCAGTCCCACTGACCTGGATGGGCTAGTGTATAACCATTACAGCTCCAAGTAAACCACAACCAGCAGTCCCTGAAATTCTAACATTCAGAATTTCCCCACATACTAATGTGCTAAGTAAACATGGACATGTTATTTACCAGAGGAAAGGAAATGAAAAGCAAGTAAGACTTGCAGGCTTTTAGCTGTCAATAGTAGTTTGTTTTTAATTTCAGTCTCATTAAAAGGCTTAATATGAAATGAAAGTCAAGCTCCACCAGCACCAGCAGATGGTGCACTTCTACAAGGACCACCAACACTTGACAAGTAACAGTTCCAGCACTGAGGAAAATACCCCCCCAAAATAACCAGACCCCTACCTTCTAAGTAGTTATAGTAAAAAGATAGAAGAATTATCTTTGTTTTTCTTTTGGCTTACTTTTTATTTTTACAGAAATACTATTAGTAGAAAAATTAATTTATGCCCAAACAATAGTCTGTATTTTTCTATCTATAAATGATTTTATATAATGTACTAAAATGATTTTCCTATACCTCCATCATATCCATCTATTGTTTTAAGAAAAAGACATTTCTCACTGCTTTAGACTATGAAACTTTCACATCCTGAAGAGTGTATAAAATTTATATGTACTGTTTAAAATAGCATTAAGTTCATGTGCAGATTAAGACTTAATGCTTCTCCTTAATCTCATTTTTTACTCCCTCCTCAGACATAATTATTCCCTTTTTGTTATTGTTTTATTCTGAGGATAGCCCCAAAATAAAATTTCTGTGGAAGAAATTAAATATCCTTAATTAACATTAGCATACAGAAGTTCTAAAGAGAGTGAATAGAGGCAATAAACCAGACCTCCTCTAGTATTCTGTTCTCCTAATTAAAAGATAAAAATGCTAGCAAGTAATCTAACCAATGACAACCCTCAACAAGTCTTAGACCGCACTAATACCAATATGGACTACCCATTGCATATGTCACATATCTGACATTTTGGTATTTTCATGTACTATCCTCCTGTCAATGCCCTTTGCTTGTCTCCTATGTTAGAACTTTGTTTTCCTGTAGCCCTTGTCTTCCCCTTTGTGAGATTATTCTTGCATTTTGGTAGTACACACTCTGTATTAGTTCATGAGAAATAGGACATTAAAAGCTATTTTTTAACACCATGAAAACGTGTCAAATTCTATTCTCAGATGCAAATGTTTTCTTTTAAGAACTGTAGGATGGGATTATTTTTTTTCCAAATTTTCAAAGTACTATTACATCATCTTATTTCTAGTGTTGCTGTTGAGAAAACTCCAAGTAATTCTATTCAATGTATGTGACCCTACCCCACGAAAAGCATATAAAAAGTTTCTTTGTCTCTGGTGCTCTGAAATATCAGTGATGTATATTTTCATCTAATGACCTAAGCATCTGCTGGGTCATTTCTATCTGGCAATTGATATTCTTCAGTTCAGGATATAATCTTGCATTATTAAAAATAAATTTCCAGCCCTCCATGTTATTTCTATTCTTTCTGAAATTCCTATTCAGATGCTAGATTTCCCTGATCCTCTAATGATCTCATCTTTATTTTTTATATTTTTGTACCTTTTTTCCTTCACTATTTATCCTTTAGCTCTCCAATTGATATCTATACTCTGGCCATCATGCTTTGAATTTCTAGGAGATTTATTAAGTGATCCTTTCCTACAGTATCCTACCCTTATATAATGGATTCTGAATCTTCAACTGGGAAAACAATTAGTAATTGTTTACTTAAAAGAAAAAAGTTTTCTTATTTCTTCATAATCTGTTTCCTTACAGTCCTTTTCCCACCCCCTCTGTTTGTGCTGTAATCTATTTTCCATGTTAAAGGTTTTCCTCTACATCTTATAATCTTTGACTATCTGCTCATGATTCAGTGATAGGGACAAGATATTAGCAGAAGAATCCCTAGGGCTTATTCCTTTCAACATTCACAAGGCATTTAATCATATAACATTGTGGCATATTCTAGTCCTGCAATCCTCTTTTGGGAAAAGGGCTGATGCCCAGCAGAAATGGCACATTGGGTCTATGGAAAAGAATCTAATGATCTAACTTTGAAAACTTTCAAAGTTTTTACTCTAGTGCTTTTGATCTGTCTCTCCTTCACTAGAGAGTTCCAGTGGTACTCAATACTGCTAGTTCCCATACCTTGTGTGGATTCTGTGACAAACTAGGCTTTTTCCATTTCCCATGGTCCTTTGGGATTTGTCTTTTCTTAGATGTACTAAGTCAGTTAGAAGTGATTCACCTGCTATATAGCTTTCAAACCTGAGCTGCCATGTTATCTTTCTCTTCTCTTTGTAGCTTAATGTCTTTAAAAAGCAAACATAATGCCTTTAATATATTTTAGTGGGATTTCAAAAACAAATGAAATGTAAGTTAAATCAATCATCTAAACCTGCAAATCCTGGCTCCATATCATTAGCTACAATATTTCATATAATTTCTTCCTTTTTCTTTATATTTTAAACTAAAGCAGTATTCAGGTATTTTGTGTCTTGAGTTACTCTACACTTCATAAGCCAAATTCATAATAATTATTTTTTACATAAAAGTGCTAAAATTTGTCTGTGTATGCAGATAAATCTTCACCTTTCTCGTACTGATTTTCCACAAATAAAGCAAGTCCATTTTCTTTTTCCACCATGAGTACATTCTATGTGGCGTTTCAAATTTCCAGTGTCATTGAACTGACGTCCACATATATCACATGGAAAAGGACCTTAAAAAAAAAAAAAGAAAAAGAAAGAATAGTATGCATTCAAAGACAGATACTAAGTTAAATTTAGTAGGTGTGCTATACATTTATGCCTACCACTATCAGTGCATATGTTATAATATGTTACACTTATTGGTTCATAGTTTTTTTTTTCTTTTTATTTTTCAGATTGTTATTCCTGGAAAGCAAGTGACAATCATTTCCACAGTCCTAGAATCAAGTAGAGGGTTTGTTAAGTAATAGACATGATAAATGCTGAATGAACTAATGTATTAATAAATTAAAATGGCCAGTTTCTAATTCCTAATTTGAAATCAAGCTGAACCAAATGAAAATGCCACGTACTAAATATCTGTGAAAAGTAGGTAATAAAAAACTTTGAAAGGATAAAAAACTTTTTTTTTTTTTTTTGGAGGGTTCACAATTTGGAAATACATTGCTGTTCCTAATAACAAGTTTTTAGTGATACTAAGTACACTTAAAATATTGTGGTACATTTCTATTTAGTCCTACAAAATTAGACCCAAATTTGCCATAGTAATATTGACCTTTGCTGGATTCCGAAATTCAACATGATTTTATCAAATATACAACTGGAGCGAATAAGTTCCACTCAATGGCAAGTTCAAAGGAAGATAAAGAATGTGAAAAGGGGGGGCTGGGGTTGTGGCTCAGCAGTAGAGCGCTCATCTAGCACATGCAGGGCACTGGGTTCGATCCTCAGCACAACATAAAAATAAAATAAAGGTATTACATCCAACTACAACTAAAATAAAGTATTTTTAAAAAGAATGTGAAAAGAAACACAGTAGTTACAACTCAAGAAAGCTTCATATTGGCTTTGAAGTCTGGTACTTCACTTCCACATCATGCCACGCCTATTACCCCATTAAGTCCCAAGTTTTCAATTCTGTGAACATATTACTCAAATATTATTTCAAAGTTACCTTAAGTGGCATATTCGTTGATAGGTTTAAATTTTTATAGGTGTCCTACACCTACAAAATTGAAATCTTGGGACAAAATGGGTTAACATTTTTCTCCTAATGAATGTCAACTCTTATTAAAAATCATATGAACTGGGGCTGGGGATGTGGCTCAAGTGGTAGCGCACTCGCCTGGCATGCGTGTGGCCTGGGTTCAATCCTCAGCACCACATACAAACAAAGATGTTGTGTCCGCCGAAAACTAAAAAAAAATAAATATTAAAATTCTCTCTCTCTTTAAAAAAATCATATGAGCTAACTAACCATATGTAAAATATTTGTTTGAGCACAGTGTTATAACATAGTGATTAATTTAATTGTTTGGCTATCCATTACATTGTAATTTAATTTGGAAGGGATAATATACCCAGATTCTAACACAAAGTTAATCATATATTTAGCAATTATTCAATAAAAATTTATTACCTAAATGTTCAATGTACTTCCCTTGGATATTTTTCTCAGTGAACTTTAGTTAGCAGGTTAGCTAAACCTTACTACCTCGTAAACTGGAATACCTCTCCTAAATATATGCTGAAGCATGACAGAAAAATAACCTTTTGGGTTGGAGATGTGGCTCACTTGCCTGGCATGTGTGAGGCACCGAGTTCGATTATCAGCACCATGTATAAATAAATAAAATAAAGGTCTGTCAACAACTAAAAAAGAAAAAGAAAAAAAAAAATAACTTTTCAATAAGCCTGAAAATTTTTCTAGTTCAATCCCTTTATAGAAATTTCTGTAAACAACATTAACATCTGCCCAGTTTGACATATGCTTATGTACTAGGATGCTTTCATTGATGGGAAAGTAATTATCACAAAACAATTACTTTAATTTGTAAGTTCTAATGCTTAATAAATAATTGGTAGTAAAACTAAACTTGTATCTTAGAATTTCCACCCAAAGTACTTAAAATGTTTACTTACTTACTAAGTCATTTATTTAATAAATGTTGTAATAATCAGGAACAGGAAAAAGAGGCAGAAGCAAATATATTGGTTATACAATTTACTAAGTTTTGCTAGGATGTTTCTACAAAAAATATTAATAATTGTTTTTCATTTCAAAAAGAAAGAAAGCCCAGAGAAAACTATTTTTCCTGGTACTAAAGTCTAAAAGAGTTTTTCACATACAACTTCCAATTATGAACATGTCTCCAACTACAGATTTAGTAACTACAAAAACTATTTCCATATGATGATTCCTTAGAATTTCTCAGATGAAATACTATTAAAGAACAATTTAGCAAAGGCAACTTGGAGAGGGTTAGGATAGAAAAAGAATTCTGTATAAACCAGCTTTGTGTACTAGAATCACAAAGATTAAGTATGCCTTATTGTATGATATACCCTTGAAAGTATCTGAAGAGAGAGGGAAATTCTCTTTCTCAAGATAAAATATTTCAGGTACTTCAACAGTTTTTTTAATGACGTGACTTTAAGATCCTATATCACCAAAACTACCCTTCTCTATGTTTGTCAATATCCAAAACCATTTATACTAATTCTGAAAAACACATTTATTAACATAGTTTAACACTATACTGATTTTTGTCAGTCTATTTGTTTACACTGTGCCTTTGCCTAAAAAGCCTTTGCTATTAAGCCCATCTATAATATGAGGAATTTGGATCATGTACCATCACGTTATGTTTTTTCAAGACTCAATGAGTAAAAGATCATTCCCATGAGTCTACCATTTTGTATTTATTCCTAATCTTATTTGTTTTGACCTATTTCATAACATCCAGAATTTTTTTCTTTTCAGTATCAGACCTTATACATCCAGGCAAGTACTGTGGCACTGAATTATATCCTAGCCCTTTAAAAAAAAAAAAAAATTTGAAAAAAACAGGATATCATACTAAATTGCCTAGGCTGAACTTGAACTTGCAATCCTTCTACCTCAGTCTCTTGAGTAGTTGGGATTACAGTTATGTGCCACTACACCCAGCTTTATTTTTTAATATATTTTTATTTTTAGGTATATTAAGTACCCCTGCCAGCTTTATGCTATGTGTAAAACTATTTACCTGCATTGTTTTTATTTACTGTAAAGAATTCTTACTTATGTTAGTAAAAACATTAAATAGGACAGGATAAAGGCCTCCCCCTGGGATGACAATAATTTGTTTTTGGGATTAACTGTCAAAAATTTATCAAACTATACCATCATCTAGACCATGGTCCACCTTGGCCACGACATGAGGCAAAAAAAAAAAAAATTCATCAAGTACAGTATTTCATTTCACATATGCTAAGTTTACACTATTCCTTGAAAAATGAGTGTTTTATACAATAAAAATGTTTCACCCCAACCTATTCAATAATCAAAGAATGAATTATTGCCAGGCACAGTGGCATGTAACTGTAATTCAGCAGCTCGGGAGGTTGAAGCTGGGGGATCAAAGACAATCTGAGCAAATTGGTGAGGCCCCAAGCAACTTAATGAGATCCTGTTTCAAAATAAAAATAAAAAGGGCTAGGGATGTGGCTCAGTGGCTGGGTACAATCCATGGTACAAAAAACCCCACAAAATTGTTTATGACCTTGAACACATTTGCTACCAAAATAAAAACCATCACATTTACTAATGTGTGGGAACTGCAGCATATACAGTACTCCTCCAAATAAGTATAACTTTCTTTCATTAATTTAATATCCAAAGTTCACTAATAGTGATTCAACAGTCTCCCCAAATGAAACAGGTAAAAAATCTAACAGAATGAGTAGACATCTACATGATTTATGATGTAAAAAATCAAAGAACTAAATAAATGGAGATATAGTCCATAATCAGCGACAGGAAGACTTGATATTGTGAGGATGCCAGTTCTTCACAATTTGACCCAAGAATTAATGCAATCCCAATCAAAACCCAGCAAATTATTCTTTAAGTATCAACAAATTCTCGTGTTTATGTATCTAGGGGGAAAAAAATCCAGAATAGCCAACACCATATTGAAGGAGAAGAACAAAGTTAGAAAACTTACTTCAAGACTTAACTATAAAGTCAAGGGAGTATGGTATTGGCAGATGAAAAGACAATTACACAAACAGAACATAATAGAGCCCAGAGTCACATAAATATGATCAACTTATATGACAAATAAATGAATGCTACACAACTGAGAAAACTGGTTACCATATGCAAAATTTTTTTTTAAATTAGTCTAAACATAAGCCTTAGAGTCTTTGCAAACATGAACTTGAAATGAATCACAGACCTAAATGTAAAATGTAAAACTATAAAAATTCTAAGACATAGTGGCAAAAACCTAGATGACTGTGGGTTTGACAATGGCTTTTAGACATGACACCAAAGGCAAATCCACCAAGGTATTGATAAGCTGGATTTATTAAAATAAAAAATTTCTTCTGTGACAGATACTGTTAAGATAATGAAGACAAGCCACAGATTGGGAGGAAATACTTTAAAAGAAATATTTCATAAAGGACTATATATATTATCCAAAATATACAAAGATCTCTCAAAACTCAACAATAAATAAAATAAAGGACCCAATCAAAAACTGGGCCAAAGGGCCAGAGATGTGACTCAGTGGTAGAGTGCTTACCCAGCACATATAAGGCACCACATAAAAATAAATAAATTAAAGGTATTGTGTTCATCTACAACTTAAAAAAAATTTTTTTTTAAAAATCAGGCCAAAGATCTAGTAGACATCCATCACACCAAAGGTATGCACAAATAGCAAATAAACATAAAAAGATGCTTTACATCATAGGTAATTAGGAACATAAATTAAAATAATGAGATACCACTAAACACCTATTACAATGGCCATAATTCAGAATACTGACAATACTAAATTCTGTTGTTATAGTTACCATTTAGAAAGTCCTCCAGAGGCTCACGTATTGAAAGCTTGGTCCCAGTACAGCAGTGTTTAGCATTGGGGTTTTGGAATATGATCGATCATGATTCAGTGGATGAGCCCATGAAAGGATTCCTAATTTGATGGCATTTTGGGAAGGTGGTGGAAACTATAGGTGGTCCCTCACTGGGGGAAACACGTCACTGGGGGTATGCCCTGGAAGGATATATCTTGTCCCCGGTCCCTTCCTCTCTCTGCTTCCCAATCAATATGAGGTGAGCAGCTTTGCTCTACCATGCCCTTCCACCATCATGTACTGCCTCACCACAGGCCTAAAACAATGGAGCCAGCTGAAAATGGGCTAAAACCTCTGAAACCGTAAGCCGAAATAACACTTTCCTTCTTTGGGTCTTTTTTTTTCCCCCAGATAATTTGTCACAACAATGAAAAGCTGACTAACAGATACCAAGGATGTGAAGCAACAGGAATTCTTTCATGGCTAGTGGAAATGTACAACGACACAGCCACTTGGGAAGAGAGATGATGGTGGTTCCTTACAAACCAAGTATAATCTTACCATTCAATACAGTACTTATGCTGCTAGGGATTTACCCAAAAGAATTGAAAACTTATGTCCACACAAAAATTTGCACACAAATATTCATAGCAACTTTTTTCATAACTACCAAAACTTGGATGTTCATAAATTACACAAATGTACTATTTTGTTGGGCAATGATAATAACGGGGATGTTATGCATATGTGGTGGCAGGGGGCATAATGGGAAATAATTACTTTTAAAAAATAGGCACTTTCAGAAGAAAAAAGAGTACTTCAATAGTCCCCTCCAACATGATGTAATAATAATCAATAATTGCCATGGGTGCTTTAAAAAAACTTAACTTCCTTACCCAGATGGAACTTTTCCTGATGCTTCAACCGTGCAAACCTTGATTTAAAATGTTCTTCACAATAGGTACACTTAAAAGGTTTATCTTGAGAATGTAAAATCATATGTTCTTCCAAATGTGGCCTTCTTGTAAAAGATTTCTTACAAATCTAAATGAATGTATATAAAGTGCAAGGAAACCTTAATTAAAAACTAAAATACAAGGTCATAATGAGAAAAAAAAAATATATATATATATTCAAGTAAGACATTTCTACAAACAGAAAACTTACCAAAAGTACAATCAAATTATGTGAAGGAAAAAAACTTTGGAGGAATTACTCCAAGGAATGATTTTGTATCATCTATAAAGCTAACTGAGTTTCAACTCCTTATATGTTTAATAGAGCTATAAAATAATTTTACTTAATTCTAGACAGTAATTTCTTAATTCAACATATATTTTAATTCTTAATTTCAATATATAGTTTAAACAATTTATGTATCGGGAATAAAAAGGTTTTATCAATGCTGCCATATATTTGATTTGAAAAATGAATAAGAAATCACAGAAAAATAATTTCAAAATTTTTCTCTTGAAGTGATCAGAAAGAAACACAACTCTTAAAGAAATGTAACATATATCAGAAATAGAAAAAATATATGAAACAACAATGTAACATAAAGCACAAGGCTAATTCACAAAATATATTTAATTTTCACAATAATCCTATGAAGTAGACATAATTTCAATATCATCATTTTATAGCCACAGAAGATAAACTTAGGGGAAGACATCATCTTATGTAGATTCGAATAACAAATTCAATTTCTAGCAACAGAAATCAAAGAAATGGTGAGAATACTGAGAATTTTGCTATGTATATAAATTAAATCCTTGTTATAAAGAAGAAAAAATAACAATACAACATATTAAACATATTCATCTAAATACTCAAAAAATATTTCAGGAGTGTAACAGAATAAATTTTCCTACAAATTCCTTGCCACTGAAAAATGAAATCTAATTCCCCTCCCCTTATATTTGCCCTGGCTGTAGGACTCGTTGGATGATGATTTCTGTTGTGGAAGTTACGATATGTGACTTCTGAGGCTAGGCTCTAACTTTGCAGTTCTTACTAGGCTTCTCAAAACACATAGTATAATCAGTCTTAGAACCCAAATACCATACAAGAAAGAAGTTGATGTAGTCTAATAAAAAAGAAGAGGAGACTCTAGGTTATTGGTGCATTCCTGCTGAAATCCTAGTTGTCAGAAAACACCAAGCTGCCAACCAGGTGATTGAGTCACTTTGGAAATGGCCCCAAACCAAACCAGTCCAATCACCACCTAAAAACAATCACCTAAAAACAACTGAATGACTTCAAATGATACCATGTAAAACAGAAGAATTACCTAGCAAAGCTCTGCCCCAAATTTGGATTCCTATCCCACAAAAAGGTAAGATACAACACAATAGTTGTTTTAAGTACACTAAATTTTTAAGGTGGTTTATTATGCAGCAACAGATAACCACAAATGGGTGGGAGTTGGGGGGAAGCAACTCTAACACTTCAACTCTGCAAAAATAATGTCATAGATGATATACCCAACTGTAAATACCTGGTATAGTGATTTCAGTATCAATAAAAACTAGGATTTCTAATCAGATCTACCATCCAAAACTAACTCACCAGGATTAATTTATAAAAACCACTAGACTAATTTTACAAAAAAGAAAGATACTAAAAGTGAGATAAGTTCAGTTATGTTGCTTTAAAATCTAGCCTAGCATGAGCAACTCCCCCACACCAAAGGACCTGGGTTTGATCCCCAGCACTGCAAAACAAACAAACAAAAAAACCTAATCACCTTTCTTTCCCAAAAGGCAACATTATATTTACTTTGTATTTCTAATACAAATTAAAAACCCTTACATCACATTTCCAACTTTCACTCTTAGTCTTCTTGATGGAAATAAATTCTTGTGCATTTTCAGGATGAAATCTACCAAAGAAAAATAAAAATTATTAGGAAAAGATGATACTAGTTAAGTCAATATAACATATAAATCCACTAACTGTAATTATAAGAATCAGGCACTGATTTTTTTCTTAAAGTGATAGGCATCTCTGGTAAGAATATAGATTATCATCATGATTTTTAACAAAGTTATACTTAAACCTCAGTTTATGCAGAAATAAAAAAAAATTTAGCCATATTTTAAAAATATTCAGGAACCCTAGCCATTTATAAATAACCTGCAAAGTAACTGATTACATTTTTTTACTCCACATTTCAGTAAATTTATTTTTTAGAGCTAATATGCAATACAATATTAAATATTTTCTCACAATCTTTCACACATTAAATATGTAAAGCAAATTCTTATAATTCTAAAACCACATATTTCTGAAGACATTCTTATCCAACCCCAAAACAGAAAACAACATAATCAAATGCTCTACCTTAAAACCTGTTACAGACTATATTCCTGTTTCAACATCAAAAAAAACTTATCTCAATACCATAAACAAAAAACATGAATGAATTAATATTTGCCCTTCTTAATCTGTAGTCTGCAAAATATTAAGCAATGAAAGAATTGGAGATAAGCATTTTCATAGATATTTTTAGTTGACTATTTTTAATTTACTACATGCTTACATTAGAAAGCACCATATTGTATATAATAGAAGCAAGATAATACTTGCCTCTTAACATGCTTGGCTAAAGTCTTCTTGCTTGCATGAAGTTTATTACAATAAGGGCACTTGTGCTCCTTCTTATGAAATTCTGTTTCATTACTGTGCTTCTTTCTGTGAACAGTTAGGTTAGACTTTGTCGAATAACGCTGGTGACAAATATCACACTCAAAGGGCTTCTCACCTGTGTGTACACGAGTGTGGCTTTCGTATTTCCCTACCAAAAGAGAGAAATTAAAATTAAATTGAGCACATTTGCTACATTGTGAATGAAATCTGACAGTGGAATAAAACGTCATGATTTAGAAAAGTTAAATATACACCCAAATCCTCAATTTCAGAAATTTAAATAATTCTCAGCCATTTTGCTAAAACATACCCTCCCATTTATACATGTATATTAATAATCAACATCTACCACTTCCCCTACTGTGTTCAAGAAAGCCAGAAAAAATTTAACCTTTTTGTATCCAAGTTAATAATACTTCATGGGGCTGTAAGAAAATGAATTAATACACAGATAAAACTTAAAGCATTCTAGTATAAAGTAAGCACTATAACAATCTGTTATTTTTATTATTATCATATGGATTATATGGATTGCTAGTCACAATATGGACAAGTAGGTATACCTCAAATATAAATCTGTAATTATGATTATCTGTTATAGATAATTATAACAGATTTGAGTATGTGCTATAATAATAGATCAAACTAGGGTTTCATCTGACATCACTGAAAGGACTTTGCTTTTTCCACTTGCCACTACTAACACTATCTAGTATCTCGGTTTTCTCTCTGCCACTTCTAGGGCATACCCTCCCATCTACACATGCATATAAATATCCTATCTCCACTACTTCCCCTACTGTATTTAAGGGATCAGATCTAATGCTGGACGAGGACAGGAGTCACTAGATGGAATTTTAAAAAAGTTTTATTTGATTATGAAAGTTTTCACATATCATTTTTTTTGAACTGATAGGTTTTTTTTTCTTTTGTTTTGTTTTTGTGGTGCTGGGGATTGAACCCAGAGCCTTATGCATACAAGACAAGCATTCTACCAAACTGAGCTATATCTCCAGCCCTTAGTTTTAAGATTATGTAAATACAAACTCATGGGAAAGTATGTAAAACAAATTAAGAATATACATCTGATATTTAAATGATTAATGATGTGTTTTGGGGGAATATTTTTTAAATGGGGATTAAATGTGCATGTCTAGTACAGATTCTTAAAAAACAGAAAGATAATTTATCAACTTCCTAATGCTTAAATCTCGTCTGTATTAGCAAGTGAACAGGAACAGTAATTTCATATGAAGAACTGCACCAATCTTTATTTTCTATGAAAATACAGATGCTATATTAGATTAGTAGCATTTTCCTTTGTATTTAAAGAAGTTTTTTCTTGTTTTCAAATAAAAAATTAAACCTAATGTAGCTAAATATTAAAACTTTCAAAATGGCAAATTAAAAATAAAAACTATTTTGACTATAAAGCTTCCATTTTCCTACAGACCAGGAGACTTAAGATTTAAGCAAGAAAAAGAAAATAGAAAATTAAACTGAAATAGCCCAAATTAGACAAATCTAATGATCTTTTGAAAATATTTTAAATAAATTCAGCAAAGACAAAAGATCAATGAAAATATAGAAACTTAAATAATTCATCATGACATTAAAATCTCAATAGTGAAAACACTATGCTTAAGTTATTAATTCAAAGTTTATGCACATAATCACTGCAGGACCTATTATAGCTTAATGAATTCAAATTTCTGAATAAGAGAAGAGAGAAAACCCTGAGAAAATGATGGATTCAGAGGAGGTTTATCTTTAGAGGCTAATGGGGGAAAAGTTAAGTCTCCAAATAAATTTCATGTTTAAAGCAACTGTTAGGGGTGAATGTATGTGTGTGTGTGTGTGGAGGGGGGGTATTCAACAATAATGTATAAAATCTAAATGTTCACTCAAATTTAGTGAAGTTTCAACTTAAAAAATAGTGTCACTTCAAGGAACAAATCTGTCCTGGTGTTCAGAATTTATTGCATAATATGGGTCATGCAAAATTATCACTGTCAGAATCTGCATGCAGTTTTTGCAAAGAGACGCATCACCAAATTAGTTCATTATACACACACGTATGTATATATATATATACACACACACACACGTAATACATATATATAATATAAAATATTGTTAAACATTAAATTGTACCTTGAATCTATTCATATACCATATCCTAAAAAATATGTAATTAAAATACTTGGCATTAGAGAATTAAGCCATTGTTATAACTCTTCTTTAAGAACCAAGTGTAATCTTTGTCAGGATGGACTATAAAGTCACATTAATTAAAAAAGGGGGGAGGGTGTTAAAAAAACATTTATTTTTAAATTCTAGAAGATACTGTGAGTTTAATCCAAGGAAAATTTTGAGTTCTGTCTAGGAAAGATAAATTATCCAGATTTTCTCTTGCACCCCATATGTCATCTTGCTATTTTTGCTTTTTTACCCACTAGGATTTTAGTATAAGGGAAGAGGTCAAAGGACTCTTATTTGCATGAAAATCCCCTGAGAAAAGGACAGCTGGTAGCCTAAGGAATGATATAACAGGATCAGCAGTCTTACTCCAAGCAACTATTAAATATATCAGAAAAGATAAGAGATCCAAAGAAATGGAATCAATTTATTAAATTATATACTGTGGAGCTAATGGTTCCAGCAGGTTTCAGAGCTTTTCATCTCTCATAAACCCACTCCAAGGCAGCCAAGTTAGAAGCTGATAAGAAAGCTTAACTGGCTTCTTACAAGTTCAATGTAAAGAGAGGCACCAGCCTCTCAACCTAGTTTTAAAGAAAGCAAGTGCTTACTGAAAACTCATAATTTAAAATGACCGGATATATTACAAAGGATACTAGCCAAGAATAAAATGCATAAGCTTCAGATTCACAATTGAATGAAATGCTTAAAATAACAACAAACATTTATAAATTCCATGAAAGGAATAAGTGTGATATGAAAAGGATGACTGGAAGGTAGCCTTTGAACTATTTTGGGGATGCTATGGTAACACACTTAGGATACATCTTCTACATATTCTTTTTATTCTATCCATCACCAATCTACTTTGTCTACATTCAGTAAATCACTCTGCTCTACCCTCATCCACTTTTCATTCCCAAGGCCCTCATCTAGTCCAAGCACTGATGCTTCTAGTCCTCTGCTACATGCTCCTTTTTTTTTTTTTTGGTTACTGGGATTGAATTGAGGGGCACTTGACCACTGAGCTACATTTCCAGCCCTACTTTGTATTTTAATTAGAGACAGAGTCTCACTGAGCTGCTTTTGCTGAGGCTGGCTTTGAACTCATGATTCTCCTGCCTCAGCCTCCTGAGCTGCTGGGCTTACAGGCGTGTGCCAGATCATGGCAACATGCTCCTTCTTGTCTCCCAAACTTTCTCATTCAGTCTTTCCTTTTCCAAACTGAAGTCAGCATCTTTCCAAAACTACTAAAGATTGTCATTTTCTTCATCAAGTTTTTTTTCACACAGTTTTCATCAGATAAAATCTAAACTCCTCTGCCATTCAAATACAAGGCATTCAAAATCTGACCTCCACTTACTTGCCAGTCCTCATCTTCTATCACTTTTATTAGGCTCCCCTGCCCATCTTGAAACCAGACAAACTTTAGCAATTTCCAGAATCAACATCCCTTAATGCCTTTACACATTGATCCTTCTGCCTTCAAAATTTCTCCCTATTTCTTAAGTCTTAGCTCAAATATCATCGCTTTTGGAAACCACTCCTGATTGCCTGAGTCTTCTGTATTTATCCTCATAAAATTATCTTTTAATAATTATTATCATATGATCGTCTCTTTGCATGTACACATCACGTTCTAAGATTCTTAAGGACAGGGAATATATCATTTCCTATTGGTTTATCTGTGTTTGGTAGTTTAGAGGCTCAGTAAGTATGTAATAGCAGCCAGAATTCCTTGAACACATACATTTTGTACAACAGTTTAAGTGATTTCCTAGAAATATCGCATTTAATCCCCATTATAACCCCAATAAGAAGGTACTATGAGTATCATATTAGCATCGTCTCACTTTATGAGAATAAAGCATAGACAGGTTAAGTAAATCACCCAAGACTTGAATTCAAAAAAACCTAGGCAGTCAGACATTACCATAGCTTATGTTTATAGAATTTGGCAGAATTAATGCAGATTATTATATAGTTTCCCAGTTGTATTGCAATCCAGAATCCCTCTCTAAGAAAGTATCTCACAGGCCTAGTGTGTTGGATGGGACAATTTAAGATCTATGCGCTGGATCTATAATGCATGTTTTAACTGACCCTTGCTCACTCATCTCCAAGTGAAATTAGGTCAATTAAAGTAGATACAGGAAGCATGTGCTAAGGGTACAAAGGTCAAAGATGCAGAATCCATTAGAAAGATGAAATGTTCTCAGGTACATAAACCCCCAAAAGCTGTTCTTTCCTAAATACATACATTCTTTTAACTTTGTTAATTCTCAACAGCAAATATCTAGCCTGACTTTAACAAGTGTCTTGTAATGAGCTCTCCCGAATGACTGAAAAGTTATTTTATTCATGTTGGCATAGAGCTTCACAATAAAAAAATTAATAAATAATTGCCAAACTGGATTATCAAAAGTACTCTGATTCACAGATAATGTATTCAAAAAGCATTATAAAAAGCAAAAAGTTACTACTTTAATGCCTACTGTATGCTGTAGCTATATTTTGATAGCAAATGATTAATACCTTATAAAACCAATTTCCACCTATATCAGTAACATAATAATTCAAAAGTATAACACACCTGCGAACATATTAAACAAACTCAGATTAAATTCATTATGTTCTTATCATTATGTGTGGTAGAATATATTTCACAATTTCGTAACTTCAATTTACACGTAAATAGCTTAACTACTACAATTAAAGAGTATGCATTAAATAGTTTATATGACTTCTTTAAAAATTGCTTTACTAGCAAATATCTGACATCTCAAAATTAAATATGCACTGACATAAAACCTCAGGTTATGGACCACATTTCCTACATACTCTTTTAAAAGGGAAAATTTTGATTTATTCATTTTTATAATAATTCGAATTAATAACTAGGGTAGTTCCTAAATTATCTATCCAAAGTTATTCAATTACAGTATAATTTTATTCTTCACTATAGTCTAATTTAAAACATTTCTAATTCTAAAAAGTACTAGAAAGGTGTCTATATTTACAACTATTATCATGTACAAAGGGAAAACAGTAAACAAATTACTAAATATAATCCAATTACATTTTCTGTAATGACTCAAGTTAGCACTCATCTTCAAAACTGGAATATAAATCAAAGCTGTTCATGATAATTATTGATTCTCTGGAGTCTTTCATATTAAATACATGAACTAATAATCTATTACCTATTAGGACATGACAAAGAAAAAATAAAGGGTAATATAAATACTTAACATGATTCCTGAATCACAACAAATTTAAAATAATAGGATAAAGTACACAGTGAAAAGAAAATTATCTTCCCTACTTAAGCACTTTTTATTTTCAAACTTCAGTTTCCAATTATTACCTTTAAATATCCATGTAAAGTAAGTGATAAGAAACAAAAGTTTTCTTACCTATTCGGTCAAATGTTTTATCACATTTAGGACATTGCAATATTTTTTTGTTACTGTTCTGAATGACTACTGGAGTTAACCCCTCGTGAATGCTTCCTACAGAATCACCAGCCTCAGGTTCCTCTTCTGCATCATTATCTTTTTCACTTTGTTCTTCAATGTCAGAGTATTCATCTGACATTTCCTCCTCTAGTTCATCTTCTTCAGCATTATATTCACTTCCAGGATCCTCAGAATCATTTTTATCTGACTTTTCCTTATCAAAACTTTCTTGATTCAAATTGTCTGACCCATCACCACTTTCTTGTTCATCATCACTGGTGTCATCAAACTTAACAGGGCACTTCCGATTCCTTTTTGATCTTCTTGCAGAAAAACTTCTCTCCAGCATTTTTAACCCATGTTTTTTCCCTAACAAAAGGGACCTATGAGTTTTAGCCAAATGATTTTCTAAAGACTTTTTGTAACAAAAATGTCTACTGCAGAATTTGCACTGATGATTATTTGATAATCTTCCAGTTAATTCATTTAGTGTTTCTTCTGGTGATGACTTTTCAGTTAGCTCTGATTGAAAAGCGGCAACATTTTCATTATTTAGCAGCTTTACTGCATCTATAATGTCCAAAAATTTTGCAGCCTCTAAAACAAGAGGTATTTCATATTTGTACACAAAAAATTCTGATGTGTAAAGAAATTCAAGCAAATGCTGAAAAACTGAATGTGTTACGTGATCCAGAGTGACAACATCAGTGCTTGGATTTTTGCTCAAACAGGCATGAAAATAACTACTGCCAACAGCAACGACTACTTTATGTGCACTAAATTCTTTTCCTTCTACTATGATAAGTAAATCACAGAAAGATGGTTGTTTCTGTCTATCATCATTTAAATACTTTAGCAAATTCTTATTATACTGCAAAGAACTCAAAAGCTTTCTCTGATCTGGAGCGGGAGGAAGTTCCTGATAACAGTGCAGAGCTTCAGTTGTAGGTCTCTCTGTAGAGTGAGTACAGGTCACTTGGTCACATTCCACTGCAACATTTCCTTCCGAAGAATCTTTATAACCAAGATGGATCTTCTCGTCAAGATTTGAAGTAACCTTTCTCCTTTTCTTCATTGCAGTACAGCAATTTCAGAACAAGAAACTTCATAAGTGTCTTAAGAGATTCATAAAGGAAAACTAGATTGTCTTGGACAACAGCTTCTGGACAGGGGTGCCTGAGGGTTTCATGGTCTGCAAAAGTAAGAATCATGTAAAATAACTCCAGGCAAAGCAACCTTAAATCAGTCACAGGCATTTGTCAGCTCCCTCCTAAATTATAACTAAGTTACCATCAAGTCACACTCACATTCATTCGTGGCTAAGATTTTAGGGCGGAGAACAAGGAGGGCCAGGTTAGAAAAGACAGCCAACAAAAGAATAATTTTTAAAGGAAGCCAGAGCACACCTTCCAGGCCTGATTTACGAACAGGGTGGAAATAACTGGACAGAAGCGGGAGAGTTCTAAGATCCTTGACGACGGAGGTTGAAGGGGGCTGCAGTCATGTTTTGGGGGCGCTGAAATAGTGACAATAAGGCCGTCGCAGCCACGAAATCCGAGTCTTTCCATTAGCATGCTTTTCTATGCGGGGCAAGGCACAGCTATTCAGAGACCTAAAGCGTCCCTCTCCCAAAACCACCCGGCAGGAGACGGCCCCAGAAGGGGCTCAGAGCAAGAAGAGTGGGGTCAAACACAGGGACGACTAAAATAAGCAAAAGAGCCTTTCAAGGCCCGGGCCAGGTGGAGAATGCGCTCGCCTACCAGAAACCCGTTACCCTTCCCACCCAGTATCCCTAGGCAAACGCCCCACAGATTCATTACCGGGAACCCAGGGCTCCCCCGCTGGCTCTAGCCGCTGACTCCACTCTGGGCGCGCTCGCTCCAGCGCCTACCCACTTCCGGGTTCAGCCACCCACCTCACCCCCCCTCCCCGCTGCTCCTTCCCCTCCCGGAGTCTCGCCGCCTCCAAACCACCGAACACGTCAACCGCGCGCGCAGCCTCCAAGCCGCCCAGAGCGACGGCGCGCGCCCCTGCGCGAACCAATGCGCACGCGCGCGCACCCTTCCTTACGCATGCTCGGTCGGTTCTTCTGCCGCTTTGGGAACACTGGTTACTCCCCAGATCCGTTACTCCGGGTTTTCTTGGTGGCTGGGTGGCCACCCGTGATTGAATCCTCGAAGCTTTGCTGCGGCAGGGGAACGGAAGACGGGAGGTTTGATAGGGACTTGGGAAGAAATTGGCAGAGGCGCAATAGTACCGACGTATTTTATTCTCACTGGTGTGTTTAATAGTTTGCAACCAACCAAAGGGCGACCGCCGGAAGCCGGTCCCAGCACACATTCTGGCAAACGCCTAACAAACCGAGATTGACTTCCCTTGGTTGTTTTTCTGATTTAAATGGCAAGACTTAAATGCAGTTACTCCTAAGATTGCGATTTTTAAAAAACTTTTTTTCCCCCTGTACACAGAAAAGGGCACATGTAAGTGTACAGCTGGTTGGAAAAGAAAGGAAGTCAAAAGGGGAAAATCCCAAAGGACAACTTTGCTCTGACGGATTTCTGCATTTTTAATAAAGCCCCAGGTGGGCTGGTATTGCTGGTCTGAGGGTCACTTTTTGATTAGTATAGTCCCAGACCTTGAGATTGTGCAGACGTAAGGCAAGACAAAAGACCAAGACCAAATGAAATGGGGGTCCCAATTCTTAGCCCCTATCTACCCATCAAGTATAGAGCTGAAAAGGCTACCCTCTCTGTGGAAGAACAGGTGGAGGAGTCTCCTACATAGAGGATGTGAGGAAATGCCTAAGCTTTGGTCAAACACCCTTTAGGTGGTGTTACGAAGTTATATTTTAGATGGTGGTTAACAGGCAATTCTGTACACTGGAGTAGATGACCCTCTAGTAATACCAGTTGAAGCCTTCAAGAGCAAATTCAGGTTTGCCAAAGAAGCCATTTTCCCTAAGAATTCAACTTAGAAACCTTGTCTGGGTTTTCAGCCTAGGAGAATTCAGACTCAAGACTGAAATCTCATCTCCGTGAACTTCCAGCCTGTGGGGCCTGTCCTATGATTTTAAATTTTCTATCTCCCACAATCATGTGTGAATCAGTTCCTTCAAATAGGTTATTATATCTCTTCATCCTCTTGCTTCTGTTTTCCTGGAAAATCCTAACTAATCCATCAGCAATGAAAAAAAAAAAAAAAGAAGAAGAAGAAGAAAGAAAAATTAAAAACAATGCCAGGAGATCCACATCCTTCAGGTGCCAGAAGTTTTTGTCAAGAGTGTGGGGAGAGACCAGAGGCAGGAGGTCAAGAAAAAGGGAATCTTCACATACTAAAATTTGAAAGAATGTCTTCCTTTTGCTGATCTGTCATTTTATCCTTTAATAAACTGATTCAGAAGTTTATTTCTGATAATGAAAATGTTTTCCTTCATTTATTCAATTGAAAATCCATAACACAATTACCTTGTACCAAGAATGTGATATTTTCAATAAACTTCTTATAAAAATGTTTTTAATAGCATCACAAATATGAAATACCTGGAAATGAATTTAACAAATTATATTTAATGTCCATACACAATTCTTTACAATAGGACTGGCAAACTATTTACTGTCAGAGACCAGCTATAAAATATTTAGTTTTTCTCCCACTTTTTTCTGAATTTTCACAAGCCTCTAAAAATGTAAAAATTATTTTTATCTTGGGCTGGAGTTGTGGCTCAGTGGTAATGTATTTGCCTAGCATGTATGAGGCACTGGGTGCGATTCCTAGCAACACATAAAAAAATAAATAAAGGTATTGTGAACATCTACAACTAAAAATATTTTTTTAATTATTTTTATCTCAGAAACCATAACAAAGCAAGCCATGGGCTAAATTTGATACATTAAGAATAATTGTTTTCTGACCAACATTTTTAAAACACACCTCAGAGAAATAACCTAAAAAACTGAAGAAATATCCTTAGTACCTTGTTCTGCTATAATAAAATACCACTGACTGGGTAATTTATAAACAATAGAAATTTGTTGTAGTTCTGCAGCCTGGAAAGCCAAGGTCAAGGCACTGGCCCTTACTGTCTGGTAAGGGCTTTTTTCTTACATCCTCACATGACAGAAAAGGGGAGAACACTGTTCTCAAGTAGAAGGACAAAAATGGGCCTAAGTACTTTGCTTCAGGCTCCATCTTTTTTTTTTTTTTTTTTTAGAATTTCAACTTTATCATTTATACCATCTGATTTATAATTTTATTCACTATATCATTTTTTAATTTTTAAATTTGTTTTAGTTATACATGACAGTAAAATGCATTCATGCACTTTGATATATCATACATAGATGGGATATAATTTCTCATTTTTCTGAGTGTACATGTTGTAGAATCACATTGGTCATGTAGTCACATATATACATACAGTAATAATGTCTGTCTGTTTCATTCTACTGTCTTTCCTATCCTCACATCCCCTCCCCTCCCATCACTTCCCTCTACCTAATCTAAGGTAACACATTCTTCCCTAGTGCCCCCCGCTTTATTGTGAATTAGCATCCACATATTAGAGAAAACATTCGGCCTTTGATTTTGTGGGATTGACTTATTTCGCTTAGTATGATATTCCCAAATCCAACCATTTACTAGAAAATTCCATAACTTTACTCTTCTTTAAAGCTGAGTAATATTCCATTGAGTATATATATCACATTTTCTTTATCCATTCATTTATTGAGGGACACCTAGGCTGGTTGCATAGTCTAGCTAATGTGAATTGAGCTGCTATAAACATTGACGTGGTTGTATCACTATACTATGCCGATTTTTAAGTCCCTTGGGTATAAACCAAGGAGTGGGATAGCTGGGTTAAATGGTGGTTCCATTCTCAGGCCCCATCTTAATACCACTACAATGGGAATGAAATTTCAGCACATGAATTGGGGGGAAGGGGGCATTCAGACCATAGAATATGCTATATTTACATACTGTAAAAATCACTGTTGTAAAGTTGTCTCCAAATCTATTTAAATACAACAAGAATAAATTAAAAACAAATAAGCTGGACTTCATTAATATTCTTTTCAAAAGATAATAAGAAAATCCACAGACTGGGAGAAAACATTTGATAAATATCCATCTGGCAGAGAACTTATAGCTAGAATATAAAAGGAATTCACATTAATAAGATGAACTATACAGAGAGATGTGCACGAATGTACATTGTATAAATATTTTATATATACATTTATATAAAGTAGGCAAAATATTTGTGCAGACATTTCATGGAAAAGGACTAAACTAGCATATGGAAAGATTTTTTTTTAATTTTTAATTTGCATCTTAATGGAGATGGAAATTAATCACAATATGATACAGCTGTTTTTTTAATAAAGAGAGAATGATTTATTTAAAGGAATAGACTCACATGATTGTGGGGGATAGTAAATTCAAAATCATAAGATAGGCTCCATAGGCTGTAAATTCAGCAAGAGATGAGATTCTAGTTTTGAGTCTGAATTCTCCTGGCTGAAAACTCAGGCAAGCTTTCTAAGATTAAATCTCAGGGAGAAATGCTTCTTTGGACAACCTCAGACTTTGCTCTGGAGGCGTTCAAATATAGGATGAGTTCACCACTTGACTAGAGAGTAATCTACTCAAGTCTAATTTGCCTGTTGACTATATGTAAACCATAACTTGAGAGCCGCATCTAGACCAATGTTCAATGAAAATTTAGGCATTTCATTTATATATATTTACAAAGTACATATCTCTATATTTTCCTTTATATATAAGATTGCCTAAAATTATATAGTCACAATACAAAGTGTTGATGAGGACATGGATGAGCCAAAAAAAAAAAAACCAAAAACAAAAACAAAAAAACCTCATGCACCTCTTGTGGAAATATAAAATGGTACAAGCACTTTGGGTAATAGTCTAGTAACTGATGTTCCAAGAACATCAGTTGTTCCATCCCACCCAAAGGATATAACAGCAAATATACACACAGCTTTACATATAAACGTTCATACAGTTGTTATAATAGTCAAAAACTGGAAGCAACTCAAACGTCCAAAGACAGATAAATGGATGTCAAGTGAATGTTTATATAACAAAATTCTCATCAATAAAAAACACTAATGATTAAAGGCAACAAATAAATGTGTCTCAAAATAACTATGCTGAGCAAAAGACAAA